TTCAGAGGGCGCCCCAACAAGATCAGTTTAGGGTCAGGTGATGAAGCCCTCTTGTGGCCTTTATGACTTTTGACTAGTATGACTCATAGTCTGTACAGGACTTATGCAAAGTTTGGCTTGGAATTGTAATGTAAGTATTTTCCGAGCAATAAGATCTATAGACATTCTTAAAAGAAAAAAGAAAAAAAGGCTTTTTGTGACTCTTTTACCCAGAAATAGTGATGTAAAGTATATTTTGTCATTATGCAACATTCAATTCAGGACTACTTTGCTAAATGTATTTGTTAACTGGTGTTCTTATAAGGGATTACCTGTTATTGCATCATATGCTATATATAGATTGTTGTGTAGTTAATGATCCTGCATTGGCCTGTATCCAAGTAGGTTCTATAGTTAGTTGGATGGCTTTCTGTCCTCATTTTTGCTATATAAAAGTCTACATTTCTAAATTGTCTTTTGCATTTAAAAATGATCCTCTGCTCTTTCAGATCTAAAAGTTATGCATAAGCTGAATTACAGTTAAGCATCTGTAATTAAACTGAACTGATGTGATAGTGATTCTATTTATGTAGTTTCACACATGTGTACCAACCACCCTCCCTATGAGAAATTTAGCATACATCTGTAGTAAGTTTCTATTCAGGCAAACAACACTTGCATTGCATTTTCAAAAATGTGATATGCAGTAATTTTCTGTCTGTACTGTAAATCTAATTTCTATATTTTTTAAGTTTTCTATGTGACTCGTTGCCTTACAGTCAGGCTGTTGTAGCCAATTACTGCTGCTAGCTGCTCAGATGTCGTCAAATTGAGTGGCAGCCTCCCCAGCTCGCATACATCTGGGGTGTGAGGGGTATGTGTTGCAAACAGTCACACGTCGCAGAAATCCACTCTGTTTATCACCTGCTGACATTCATATTCATGTCACTATGCCTCTCTGGCCTGAGACAGGATTCAGTTAGTTCACTGACCAGCAAGGCTTTATTTTGTCTAATAGCTGCTCAAAGTTTCCAACGAAGTATCCAAAGTATGACATCATGTGCAACCTTATGCGCAGTACTGCATGAAAAAAAAATCTTTATAATTGTCCTCAAAGTGAATTCCTTATTTTTTAAATCTATTTTATATGATATGAAGCAAATTATTCAGCTTCCATTTCCATGCAAGTTAACCTTCGTGATGGGATTTGGCCCATGTCTGTGTGTGTGTTTACTCATGTGTCTGTGTGTTGGTGGGTGTGTGTGTGTGTGTGTGTGTGTGTGTGTGTGTGTGTGTGTGTGTGTGTGTGTGTGTGTGTGTGTGTGTGTGTCTGTGTGTCTGTGTGTCTGTGTCTCTTCCCTGTTTGGCTCAGATTTTGGCAGCCCTCCGTACTCTGCCATGCATACGGAAACATGCAGGAGTGGGCCTGGAATCAAGGTCAGGCCTGGAAAACAATGTAGGAACACTCCTAAGACCTGACTTTCTGCTGAGTTTGGCATTGTGTTAGCTGTCCCCTGAGGCCAAAGCCAGGAGTCACCCATCATGCTTATCCAGACCAACCTGTAATGAGCTGCTGGAAGACAGTCCTACTTAGGGACACACGTTTGGAGACTCTTGGCATGCTGGTTATGTTGAAGAGACTACATGGTCTTTTGGCACAAGCGTAAGGCCTACTTCAGCCTCTCATAGATTAAATGTTACTTAGCAGAAGCCTCCATTCTTGAAAGACCTCACGCAAATCCAGCATGCAGATAGTCAGTCAAAAAAACTAAACAAGAGTTGTTTCTCCCAAGGAAAAGATGATAAATTCAGAACCATATTACAGTTTATTGTTGTGATATTCAGTGATATAAAAATCATTTTGATGTGAAATAAAACACATCGACCACTGCAACATCACAATCAACCAATCCCCATTCAAAAACCCACATTTTATGTCCTAAAAATGTCAAGAGGCATGAGGGCACGGGCTGAAAGTACAAAGACACGAAGATCAGAGAGCCCCCATACCACTTTTGTGCTGACCTTAAAAGGAGCGGCGCACTGTGCAAACATCTGGTCCATCAGCTGGATCCTATGCATCAGCGGGCACAGGGACACACTGGGACAGGTTGGCGGCTGCCTTTGACAGCAACAGTTAATTTCCAACATAATCAATTTATGTGCAGCTCCATAATAACCATCTGTGTTCTGCACGAGGAGGACAGTCCTGAGGAACAGAACAGCGCTGGCTGCTCCTCCTCTCCATGAGCTACGCCAGGAGCAAAAGGGAGGAGAAGGAAGTGGAAGAGGCGGAAGAAAGGGAGAAGAGATGTTAAGGAGATGGATGAGGGGGAAGGGAGGAGGAAGAGGATGAAGATGTGAGAAGGGGGGTTGATGATGGGGAGAAGACGAGAAGGGCAGCAGTAGTGATGAAGAAGTAAGTGAAGACTGAGGGGAAAGGAGGAGAAGCAGGAGACGGGAGTTGAAAGCAGGTGAAGATGCGGAGGAGGCTGAAAAGAAAGGAAATAAACTAAGGAAGGAAGAGGAAAGATAATGACCAATTTACACAAGCACAAGGACAGTTGAATGGTTGAAGTCAATAAAGTTAAGAGCATAAGAAAAAGGTGCCCCTATTCATTGTACTTTTTTATTATATGATGCAAATACAGTAAACAAAGTGGGTCTCCTCCACATTTCCCTTCTGTAAATTTGGTTGTCCTACAAGGTTAGCTCCCTTGGCACTTGAAGCCCACCGCATCCTCATCCACCTCCAATGTCAAAATTTGCCAGGGAAGGTGTCACTCAGGCGATTACTGAATCACCTTAGTGAGCCAATTACACTGCGCGCTGTCAAGGCCAATAGCAAACAGTGCCTCACACACAGACACCCACAGCTTGGCTAGTGTGAAACAAAACATGAAAACGGAATTAAGCTGCAGTGACCCCTCACCCCACTACATGCAATTTTCATAAGAGTAATCAGCATAATGTGCTAGCTCCTGCACAACTTCTGAGTTGCTTTGACCTTAAAAGGAATGTGTTTTTTTTTGTGAGGGGGCAAAACTTCACATTGCATTTGAACAAAAATACTGGTAGACAATTTGGGTATGCAAACATACAATAGTAGCATAAAGATGACTGTTGACGATGATGATGACTGTTGTCATCATCCTGACGTTAAAAATTGGACTTGATACCGGTGGATAATTTGCCTTTCCTGTTTGGCCAAACTTAAAATGACTCCTCTGCTGAGTGAAGATCTTTTATCGCCCAGTTTTCTGCTGCAGACTGAACATTAAACCATGGAAATTGTTTTGGTTCAGGTGAGAATGGAAATGAGGCTAGATTCTGGGGAATTAATGGCTGTCACAACAATTTCACTTCCTATTTTTCTTGGGCCACCTCCCTAAACAAACAATGCACTTCTTTCCTTATTTTATTTCCTACATGTGAGCAACAAAGCTTGACACACATACTGTATACATGTGTATATGTATATATATATTTTGTCCAGTACTGCTGGATCCAATCTACTGGTAGACCTCAATCCAGTCCATCCAACCTGTCATGCATTATACATGTCATGTGTGAATGTCCATGTGTCCCTGTACGTCCTCTGTCGTCCTAATTGACATGCAGCAGGCCCTAGCAGCTGTGAAGCTTTCTGTGCATGCACGTGTGTGTCTGTGTGTGTATGGTGTGTATAGCTCTCAGTAAAGCCCCTGCATAGGCCACCTGGACATAATGGCCTTCAGCTGCCACCATCACCACTAATACAAGCAGCAGCAAAGGCTGAGTTAGAGACACATGCACCCATTTGCTTTTTATCATGCACAGACCTATACTATTGTTCATAACACAAATAACACACAATCACAATTCTGGCCACACACACACACAATACATAAATATCTGTAAAAAACAAAAATGCATTGTGACCATACAGTTCAGTGTGGAACATACTTCTCTAAGACATACTGTGCAATACCTACAGCAAAGGTTAGTTGTTTGATGGTTAACACTGGCTGTGGATGTACTGCAGGGTTGCATATCATTTTCCTTTAGGTTTCATGGGAAGGCCTCTGTGGCAAAGAGATACAGAAGTTTTCTTTGCAACTTCAGATATGTCCTTTGTTCACGGTGTATATGTGATCTAGTCTGTGTATGCGCGAGGAGGGGACTTTTTTTCGATCTTCCCTTTTTTCCTCATCACTGAGTCTTGATTCTATATTTTTTTCTTCCTTTCCTATATCAGAAGCCTTTGATTCTGTCCTGCTTCTCAATTCTTCATGGAACTCCAGCATTTCAAAGAGTTCTTCTTCTCTCCCCTCCTCCTTCCCAGGCGGAGTGCTGGCCAAGTCTGGGAGAGGGACTGCCCATCAGAGGTTGGCTGCTATCAGCAGGGGGCCGCATGTCTCCAATTCAGGTCAGCCTTGGCTACAGACGGGGACTTTAAAGCAAGCCACAACGCGTCCTGTGATCCCAGTAAGCACGCTTGTTAGTGGAATTGATAACGGACCCATACACCTGGGTCCTCTGAAGTTGGCATGGCATTTTAAAGGGGAAGACAGGGAGCCAGGGCAGCCAGATACCGCATGCAAACGTGTCGAACCGAGGAAGGGAGGGATGGGGGGGAAAAGGTCTTTTTGGCATGTGACGAAACAGAATATGTTTGGGGGAGCGACCTAGAACATTGTGGAATTATGTACAAATACAGGGCATATGGCATGGAATCATTCTGAGAATCCTAAATATGTTTTGGCTCTATCATGTTACCCCCTGTAATTTTTTTTTTTTTTTGCACAAAGTTTGAGTAGTATGTAAATTGATATAAAAAACACACACACTTGAGCCCTATGTGTTGCATTTTAACATAAACATACATTAACATAAATCTGTCTGTATGTGTGTTTTTAGAGGCAGCAGTGCAGCTGATGCAGTATGTCCCAGCATTTCCCTTTCAAACAACACTAACACAAGCGCCATGCTCAAATGCCACATTTATGATAATAAGAGTATAATTCATTTATTGGGTCTACCTTTGCCATGTGTTGACCCCACGGCCATGTTGCCAGCTCACATCTGGCTGCATGGTGCGGCGCTCAGTCCTGGATGGGATTTGCCCCTGGTGATGGGGCATCTGGGAGGCCAGATGAAGCTGAGGCTTGATGAGTGCTTTGTCTATTATGGATATGGGGCTTTATGGAGACATTGACAGCTGCACATTGACAGTCTCCTGAGCAGGAGGCCTACTTCAGCAGTTGTGCTCTTTCTGTTGTCTAGAACAGAGAACAAACACAGAGCTTTGAATATTAGCTGGATTATGTTAGCTACTGCAGGTTTTAAGCAAAACCTTAAGTTGACAGGAAGAGGTGGGGTGACATAGTGTTCTTAAATGTATTCATGTATTAAACCTTTCAACACAGTTCACTGGATTGATAGACATGTTAAATCTACAGTCAGGAGAAGCCTCCAGACCACTGACACTTGAAAGAAATATTTTCAGTAATTGCAACCTACCTAAAATCAGGCAATGGATAAGATGCACCCACCAGTATCAAAACATGTTTCTAAAAATTACACCAAAATGAATGAACCTATCAGCACATCCGTTGTGTGCCCCGACACTCGTAAGTGATCTGGGTCGGAGTGGTGGATGGAGAGAGCTTGACGACGAGCGCAAATGAAAGATCATCCACCGACAAGAGACATGTAGCTACAGACCAGGCAAGCCGAGCTGACGTTCTCCAACCTTCCCTCCTGCCCGCCATTTGTGAAGGATTTGGGGATTTCATAATTTCCTGTTCTTTCTGAAAGGGGGATGGCAGCACCTGGTCCACACAGCTGTACTTCATTTAGAGAGCAATTTGAAAAGAGCGAGGGGGAGAGGAGAGGAGCGGAGCAGCCTTGTCATTAAGGGCTCCAGAATGGCCTCCGTTTGTTAGACACATGGCACAGAGTTAATGCTGCTGAATGGGGAATAGGAGCTGTTGATGCTGTCACAAATTTCTCATAAGTGCTACGACATCTGAAAAAGCCACTCCAAGTGCAGGGAGGGGGGAAATTCAAATTTTCCTTATCAAAGAGGGTTTTTTTGTAGGTAATTGACAGCTGCGGCTAGGATGTAAGCATGTGTTTCTGTCTGTTAAGATGGATATTCTATTTGTGTACCATTTCATCTTTTACACACCTTGAAGTTTGTTGTGCATGCAGGTGATGGCAGTGCTAGAGTTTGTATCAATGAGTTGACAATGGGAATAATAACCAGATTGTTGGTAAACTAAGGTGATGCAAAGGTTTGTTGTGCGGATGCGCAGCTGCCTCGCCTCTTCAGAGTTGATCTAATTGATTTTGACGTGCACATGTGCAGGGGAGAAAAAATTGTGAGGCGGGATCAAAGGCAAACGCTTTATTGCCACATCACAGGCCCCTGCTGCATTTTGAATTCTACCAATCTGTCCAAACAGTCAGATAAAATCCTGCGATGAAGAGATGCGCTTCCCTCTCTCTCTCTCTCTCTCTCTCTCTCTCTCACACACCCTCCCTTCCCACCTCTCTCTCTTCCTCTCATGCTCTCTCACTCCCTGCCTCTCTCTGCCTCTCCTGCCTCCTTTGCTCTTTCTCTCCTTTAGAGTAAATCTCAAGTGGTAATAAGTGATGCAAGAGCCATGAGGGCAGTATGAAAACATTGATCCACAAAGGTAAAAACAACTTCCACAACAACTTGTCAGGGACTTGACAGAACTAAAATAGGAAGAGGTAAAATTAAACTTGGAGAGTTACAGACACAGTCACAGATACACAACTTTACTCTGCATTACCTCTAGTCTTAACATCAAGAGCTTATCACCAATGTTGAGTAAAATGAATTCATGCAGGGAAGAGACTATGGATTGTGAGGCACGGCTGTAAGATAGCCTCCTCCATTTTGGACTGAGTCGAAGTAAACCAAATCCACTGATCATGGTGATTCCCTTGAAATCAGCAGATTTTTGTCCCCCCAAAAAATATATAAATACTGGTGCATCTGCACCCAAAACTTGAACAATCATTACAAATGGACCTGTACTTGTATAGCACCTTTTACACTACGTGCCACATTCATCCTTTCACACACATTCACTCAGTGATGCACGGCATCAGGAGCAATTTGGGGTTCAGTATCTTGCTCAAGGATACTTCCACATATGGCACCAGGAGCCAGGGATCGAACACACAACCTTCCGATTGAGGAACGACACGCTCTGCCTCTGAGCCACAGCCGCCCCGTATGTATCTATAAAATATCTTTAAAATAAGGTCACATTTACGAAGAACATGAATAGCACTAACACTAGAAACTCTCTCTTGCTTTCCCACCTCACAAACACACAATAATGCACACAGCTGTCTTCTTCAGTAGTTAGCCATCTTGACTGCTCAGTGAGCAGTGGGCCTGCGCTCTGTGCTCACTGTTAATGGGATGTTAGTGTATGGCTCTGAAAGTGTGTGCCTATGTCTGTGGGCAGTGTGTAATAACAGACCCACAGTTGGACTAACCATGCTGAGCACAAAATGAGACCTACAATGACAAGATGAGGATAACACACACAGGCAAATGCATGCACACACACATACACATACACACACACACCTGCGAGGTGTATGAGGAGGCTGTGTGATATGGTGCCGGGCTCCCACAACCAGTCTCAGAAAGCTGTTTCACAAGTGAGTCAGAAGCAAATCCTGGTAACAAGCACACCAGTAGAGAATATTTCAACTGAGCCCAGCCATCCACTGCCACAAATGCATATTGTATAATAGATTTGCTCACTCAGTCTCACCTCATACTGTAATGCCTGTTCCAAAATTCATTGACACTGACATAACAATGATGGATTCCTCAGCAAAAGCTGGAACTAAGAGGCATCCTTTACAACCAACCAACAACTTGATGAGATCTGTATGGAAACTTGTGAGTGGGCTCTGCTGTTTGTCAAGTGTGCCTTTGGCAGGGCAGTGGTGGTAGTGATGGCAGTGGGTGTTGGTGGGGGTGGAGGGGGTCAGGGGGGCTCTTGGCTGCTCTCCTCCCTCCTGTCAGCCCCCTCTCTCGGCCAGGCAGGCAGGCTGTGTTGGGCAGCCCGGCTCCTCGGTAGCAGATGCGAGCCCTCATGTCAGAGGCAGGCAGTGGCCCGACGGAGTGCCGCTCGTGCTCATACCTCATTGAGCCATCTCCCCTAGCAGATGGCGCGCTGCTGCGGGCGCTCCTCTCCCCGATAATTACCAGGCCTCGCCACAGATGGAAATGTCAGTCAGCCTCACAGGTCCTGGTTCCTGCCACTGCCTCCGTCCGCGGCCCCTCTACCTAGGCCGGGCGCTGCCAACACTCACCATGTGTTCTGTGACTGCTGACTAGGCAGGCAACAAAAGAGAAATCCGCCCACATGAATATTCATGCAGGGATGTTAGGTGGCTAGCTGTAGACCAGACTGGGCACCAGCAAATAGTTGGCCAGGTGCAGGTTGTGACACCGATTTCCAACCTCTTTTTGTCTTCCACTTCTATACTGTGTCACTGTTCACGTTTCATGACATGATGCAGGGTGCCTTGATCAATCTTGTGCACACTAAAGAAGGAAAGGTGAAAATTATACCTACTGCTTTGTACAGTTGTGGAATGACATATTTAGGAGATTAGGATAACTGTGTTTGCAAAATGGATTAATTCTAGCAGATGCCAGGACTAACCCCCACTTATCTGTGATAAGGTGACCAGATGTCTCAGCTTGGCAAAGGCAACACTCTCAGAGTTTTATTACTCGGCGCCAAAGCATCCCCCGAGAAATTTCTCCGTGCATTCACAGATAATCTACCTTCGCAGAGAACAAGGCGACAGGGTTTTGCTTCTTTGTGTATTTGTCCATGTAAGAATTTATATGGACGTGTTGCCTGGTTGTAGAAAGCTCAAGAAGATTAAACTAAAGTAAATACCTTTGTGCCTAAGCGCCAGGAAGGCAAGGGAAAAAGAGAGAAAGCAAGTAGTGGCTTATTTGAATATCACTTTGGCATACGTATCTTATAATGATGTTTCCCAATAGAAAACAGCAAAGAAATCATTTTCAGACATCTACAATTAGCTTTAATCCACTTATTTCTCAATAGGAATCATTTAATCATATTTTCCATGTATGTGTATATGTGTATGATTGTGTATGATTTTGAAAGAGATGGCAAGAGAGAGGTGTTTTGTGTACTCCTCATTTATGAACTTACTGTACATTAAAAAAAAAACCTGATGCCTCTAATATACCCTGACATCTAACATTATATGAAGATATACAGTATCACAGACAAGGACATGCAGCCCTTGTTGGCTCTCATAATATTTCAACCGGGAGTACTTAAAATCCACAATCACTGATTACAGGTGATGGCTGTAATTGCATGTCATACTCAAACAGTAACATTTTATTACCCATATGTCTTTTTATGCGCTGAGATGTGTGTCTCTAAATAGCATTCCAACTGCATTTCAATCTAGGGTGCAGTATCTCACTACAGTGCTGTCTGCAGGTCACAGAGGCCCACATGACAACAAAAACTGGCAGTGGTTAACTGAAGAAGAGAAATGACTCATAGTGAGGATGCCTATATATACTGATGCGGGCAGTGATGTCTTGCTATTTGCAGAGCACCACTGCAGACAGTTTGGAGTCTCAGCCACAGAGCCCACTGTGCAGGTGGTGAGGCCATGCTGTTGCAGAGCAATGCACGTAACAGCTTCAAACTTAAAACCAACCCTTCTGTGGGTTTTTTTTTTTTGTTATAGAAGTACAAAGTGTAAAAGGTAGCTTGGTGGCCAAACGAGTAGGGAGACAGAACTGCACTACAAAACCAAAACACAGTAGGAACATATTCGGTCAAAACTAAGTCAAGACCAAAATCTAACTTTAACTAATTTATTTTTTTCCTTTTCTGACCTGTTTCCTGTGATTAAAAGAGCCATTTTGATGTTCCAACAGCTTAGTAATTAAGGTAGTTACCTGAATAAGGCAGTAGCTAAATGTAATTAAATGTAGGTGAAAAAGGTAACACAAATGAACTGCGCTTGCTAAAAGCCAACTAGCCTGACATAGATGCCCAGACAGATGTCCAGATGTGCCTGGTTTTAGGGTAAACATCCTAAAAAGGCATAAAAATGATGCTTTTGCAAAGTGTAGCTTCTTTTTCTGCTGTCTGCAGAACTTCAGGCAGACTGCTTAAATTGCCTGGAGCACTCACCAGATCCTGTGGCACTGTTGCGTGGCTGAATCCAGCTTGACCTCTCTGTGTCGACTGCAGTCACTCGGTAGATAAAGTTTTGATAGTTGAGTGATGCAGAAGAATCCGTTTCTTCATGGGGTTTAATTCCAGCCCAACTGCCAAGTCCTCACTTGCTGATCTCTTGTTAGACAGACTGAGAGATGAAACTTGAAAACATATGATGCAACATGGGCGCAATGCAGTCAGCATAAAATAACCAAAAGAATCCAGCCCTCTACAAGACTCAAAGCTGTCGGCATCTCATTAACTCATAGTCTGTGTCAAACAGTAGCCTGAAAGGTGAAAAAGATGCTTTTGTAATCAAAAAACTGTCTAAATCCTATTAGCAGCTAACAAAAGAGAGGGATGTATAGACAGGCATCCACGCCTACGTCATCTGTCCGCATGTTGTTTGATTATTCACCATTCAACAGCCACTTATAAGGCCCTTTGTCAAACCATGAGAGTGGCAGTGCTCAATATAACCTCTGATCATAATTGAAAGTGGTCAAATGAGACTCAAGATATCACACCTTTGTGTTGTACAGATGCAGTTCAACAGAATGGCATCAGTCTGCCTCCCTTTTTTCTTTCTTCTTTTTGTCTTGGGCTGACAAAGCTGGCCCCTCATTTCCATTCTGCCCATTATGCAAATGAGGACGGATCACATATTGGTTCAGATGAGTAAAGCAAGTGCAGAGGCCAGGTCTCCTTTAGGACCAAGTGGAAATTTGCACTTAAAAGCTATTTTGTGTGATAAAACAATGGCCCAGGTGCTGTGCCCTTGACCAAGGGCTTTATCGTCTCCTGTGAGGCAGAAAGTTGGTGTCACACCTGTTTCAGCCCCTTTCTGTCAGCTCCTGGCCCAGCTCATTCTGTCTGGCTGACAATTGAGTACAGATGATGCTGTCAAAATGAATTAAAGGTTTCACTGCTCTCTAACCCCTCCACTCCACTGACTGATAGCAATTGTTTGCTTGTTAGAAGTTAGTGTTATGCATCCATTTTTGCTGAGATAAGTGTGAAAAATCATGTGTTAAATACATACTTGCTACATTTTCATTAACTGCTTATTGTTGTCAAGGGGGCACTGTGTTACAGTACAACAAGAGAGGCCATATGTTATTTGTTTCCTGCAAAGATTTTCTCTCCTCATATAATCCTGTTGTTAGTCTACGGACAAAGCTAGATCAGAGAGATTAGCACCCATCACCGAATACATTCAATCAGCAAATTACCTCAAACCCTATCAAACAATACTGACGTTTGGCACCCAACCAAAGAAGAAATCACTCCTCTGAGGATTTCCCCTCATAATCTGGTAGGAAGCTGATGATTTGAGCATAAACAGCAGACCCTCTGTGTCCAGAGCTTTAAATGCAGAATCTGTGAATGTCACATTGTTCTTCTTAGCTTGCACATACTTTGTTAGCTAGAAATGTCCAATTCAAAATATATCTACATACTTGTAATAAACTCTGCAAACATGCTAACATGCCAACATTGGAAATATTTTTGGAGAATATTCTGATCGACAACATAAAATATTTTAGATTAGCTTTTATAAAAGCCATTTTCTTGTTGCCTGGCAACCTCACAATGACAACAAGGCTCCAGGAAGTCACTGCTACCAGCCAAGAAATAGTCCCACATATAAACTGTCATTTTTACACTTTTGTTTTTGTACTGATTAAACAAATGAGATATAGGGTGTTAATTAGTAATGTTTAGAGGTGCTAGTAGACATACTTTCTTACCTTCAGACAGAGCCATGCTAGCTGTTTCCCAATCATTATGCTAAGTTAACAGGCCGCTCACTCCAGCTTCATCCTAAACATACAGATGTAAGATTCTTAATTTATTTTAATTTTTTTTTAAAACATGGTATAGTGACTCAAATGTTTCATGACTACTTACATTGTGGTTTATTTTAAGCCCCATGTAAAAAAAGAAAATCAAAAAATATATATTAAGTCTAAGTCTAAGTCATTAAACAGAAGTTAAAGGATGTCAGTTCTGTAGTGAATACACATACAGCTAGTTCCCCTTTGGGCTTTGTGCATAATTATAATTTTGTACTAGTTTGATAAGATAAGGAGGAACAATGGTTGTAAGAAATATTTTTAAATATTGTTGCTGGAGCCAATTCTTTTCTTATGATGAAAGTGTCCCGTTATCAACAGGGATCAAACTATGCAATTAACATTGAGTGCAGATAATGAATAAACAGTCTCTGCAGTCTGAAAAGAAAAAACTGTTCAGTGGTGCTATGTGCATTGGCATTGCGCTCACATAAAATTAATTTCAGTCCAAATATCACATGCACTCGTTTTTGCAATCTGCAGTGCACTAAGGGCCTGCTGCTTTCACAACCTGTCCTGAAGAGAGAGCGAATGAGAGGAGCTGTCTGCAAAGGAGGGTGTGAGCGAAACAGGAAAAGAAGTGCAGAGTAGTTCAGAGTGGGTGTGCGTGAGTGAGTGAGAGAAAGTAAGAGTTGGGTGACCTTGTTACCAGTTGGTTTGAGTTGGACAGGCTGGTAGGAGGTTGCTGTCTACGGGGAGGGACAGACAGATGCTCGCTCTTCTCCCTGGGCAAAACATCTCGCCTGGTGCAGGCAGCACACAATCTGGCCCGGGCAGCTGTAACCCTAATGATCACTGGTGGCGCTGCACCTGACCGACCGACCAGCTCCACACTCACTCAGCCCTCCCCTTCCCTTTCCCTCCACTCCCCGGCCCCTCAGTCTCCTCTTTGACCTCCAACGCCTCCCAACTCTGAGTAGAAACTAGTTGTGTGGAGGAAGAGCATGGAGAGGGGCTCAAATAAGAAGGTGGTTTAAACCGAAGGTTAGGCGGGGGAGATATAAAAGTAACAGGGCAGACAAAAAATAGGTGGAGGACGCACTGTGAAATATTGACGCATGTTGCGAGCAGGGAAAAAAAGAGTAATGAAGGCGAGCCTGTGTATATGGATGTATGGAAAAACATGAGAAATACACAGTAATTCACAAAGGAAACAGATCTTGCAGTAGCGGTATAAACACATGTAAGGGACGAAGGAATGGAGGATACTGAAGAAGGGGGGTGTAAGGAGCTCCCATGCTCCCCTCCTGCTACCACTGATCCAGTCTGAGCTGCTTATCGGGTCTCTCCCACTCCGCTCTCTAGTGTAAGAGCTCAAACTCCTGGGGCTCTCACTAGCTGCCCAGAAATGTGTCTGGCTGGATGTACGGTATATATCTATGGATGGATGGACGGATGGATGGACAGAGATGAATGAATAGATGGATGTATATGTGTATTGTGATGGCTAAACAATGACTGGCATCTTACATACAGAATGTGTATGACTGGGACATTCATCAACAGGGGTGCAATACAGTCATACTGATCAGCAGCTATTTATGGTTTGGTTTACTGACAATAGAATAATAAAAGATAGAACAATAAAGTCCTGGATTTATTTCCATTGTGGTGTTTACGCAGTCTATCAAAAAGGCCGAGGCATTCGATGTCACTAAAATACAACAGAAAACAGTGCTAAAGAATTAAAAAACTAAGTCATATAAATAAACAATTAAATTAAAAACACATCAAATAATGAAATCCCGTCATAAATGACATTAATATTATAATATAATTTGAGATAATTTGAGTTATCATGAATATTACATAGTGTGCATGGAGATTTCGGGGAAAGTGGTTGCTTTAAACCCATTAATGGGTTGTACTTACTTTCTAAATCTTCTGTTTTAATCACATATATTGCTCATGGCAACTGTAGTAGGCAGCTTTAATACTGACTCCTCTGCATTGGGAGGATTAACCACCTAACTTCTCAGGAAGCTGATTTATACTTCAATAATATATGGGTAACTTTATTTTATGTGATATTAAGTGATAGTTGTGAAAGCTAGGTCATATTTCAGCTATAAAAACAAAACAAAACAAAACAAAAATGGTAGATACATTTAGGCAGGAATTATTTTTCTATAGTATTTTCTAATATTTGAGAGGAATTATGGTTTTACAAAACATGTTTTTTGTTCAGTGTGTGAATTATGAGTTGTAAGACTCCTAATCCATATTAATCAAAGCTGAGCTGTTGTTTTCTCTAGCTTGCATCCCATACACACATTGTACATAAAAGGTCATCCAAAACAGCCTCCTGCGGTAAACATTTTAATCCCAATTAATCGCTAATTCAGCTCATCACTCTATCCATTCATTTTAAGTGAGACAGTCCAATCTAGATTTGCACGGGTGACAGAAAGCTCATCTGCTTCCTGAGCCTCAAACATGATGAAAAGGGAATGACAGAAGATTGTTTTTCTGGTCAAGTGTGCACTTTCAAAAGGGGGTGCTAGTTATCTTCATTTGGCTCCTGTGCCTGCACTACACTGAATGGGTTACAAGCCTTGTTAGACTGAATTACAGAGGACAGTATAACAATAGAGAATAGAATGATGCAAATGACTAAAAGATAATCAGCTTAAGACAATTATTGCGTTTTGTTTTTATTTAAAAAAAAGAATGTCCTCAATCTTTTTTGAAAATAAATATTCCTGGATGATTTTGGAGCATCTGAGAGTCCTCAAACATAATTTTCCCTGTTAATCTATGTATCTTAAAATCTCCTTCTTTGCTGAACTGTCCAGAAAAAAAGCCACGTGAAAGTGTTTGTTGACAGAGGCCGAAAGAGCATGAGGGCCATAGATGCCAGAGAGAAAGAGACAGAGAGCATCTGTGAGTGAGAGAGAGGAAGCGGAGTGAGAGCTTTGAAAGTGCGAGAAGGGGGATCGTGGTAGCGAGTGTGTTTGGAGATCGGCCTGGGCCAAGAATGTGTCCGTGACTGCTGCTCTGTGTATCTGCCTTGCCTGGGTGACACCAGTGACACAGACATTTCCCAGCAGCCTCCTCACAGTCCTGAGCCACTGCTGCTCTTCCGGGAGCCAATCCACACACACACACACACACACACACACACACACACACACACCGCCGCCACCACCACACACTATCTCTCTGTCTTTCCCCTCTCTAGGCCAGGCTCTGTGTTAGCCTAAGCAGACCAGGACTGTCAGAACCATATGACCCCGACAGGGCTTCTCAAACTGTGTTGCTGCTCTGTAATCATAC